CATTCGTGTTTTGTGTCGACTCATGCACCTTTTGTCTCTTTGTATTGTGCCTGGATAATAGTATGTATCGATGCATAAGGCTTTGTGTCGACTCATGCTCTGTTCTGCAAATAATATGAGTCAACTTATGCGTGTTTTGTGTCGAACCATAACCTGTTTTACACTAAAATGAGTCGGTTCATGTGAGTATGCATTAACTCATGCTGCATTTTTACCTTTAACATTGTTCTATTGTTTGTACAGGTCAGTTCTCAACATATAATTAACAAAATGAAAAGCAATCAAATGGTTAGCTTCAAGGGAAATGGTTACTACATTCTATCTTTACAAGTGAACCAATAATGATGCGTGTATGAAAAACATTTGAAGTCAAGAAGACTTACCTTGAGACTGCAATTTGTATTTTGAATCTGGATGTCTTTCAAGATGCTGTGATGATCAGAATGGATTCAGTAAACCTCCAAGAAGTTGCTCCAACCCTTACTCTGTATTGAAAGCTGCTGAACCAACTCCAACCCAGTCAAGTGGTATAATTCTGTTTTTTGTTTGTGTTTGGAAGGTGATGGTAATGGCACTACAGAAACTATTCTTGTGTTTGAACAATCTCAATGTGATGTGAAGTGTTTAGGATAGTTAGTTTGTGGAAAGCTTGCAAGGTGGAACAATGGGTTGAGGTTTTGTTTCTATGAATGAAAATAGAGCTGAATATGAGCAGAGTTTTTGTTGTGAATGAGCAGAGTTTACAAAGAATTCTGTTTTTTCTCTTCCCTCTTTTCTCTCAAAAAATCCCCTTTTTTTGTGTTGTGAAAACAGTTTATTTGTAGATGAAGTTGGCTGAAATTTGAGAGGAAAACAAATGAGTTTTTGAACTTTTTGGGTATGCTGTTTCATAGATTTCTAGATGCAGCTCTTATATGCTAATTTGGTGTAAATATGGGGACTGATATAGTGCAGGCTTGGACAAGGTTAGAGGCAGCATAACATGACTGTTTTGTAGCAGTTTTGGAGTGGAGTGGCAGCTTGGTGCATGGCTGGTTTTGTACAGGACATCAGACTGTATTTTAACATAGTTTTGGCCTTGTGGTAGCGGGCTTTGACTTGGAAGCATATATAATTTTGGGGCTTTTCTGGACAACAACCTTTGTAGCATGATACAAGTCTGGTCTTGTGGACAACATAGTAGCAAGGTTTGAAGATTGAGTCAAAGGGAAAAGTTCAAACAAGACAAAGCTTAGAATTTGTAACTTGCAATTTTTTTAACTTTAGAAATGTAGCCTTGTTATTTACTTGACAACTTATAATAATTTGAATTGTCTTGAATTGTGGTGAAAAGATGTCACGAAGAAATGAAATTAACATGTATAGAAAATACTTAGAATTTTTTTCCAAGTCTTGCAAAGTTTGATTTTTGAATTTCTTGATTTTTGATGATCAAATTTCATATTTTGAATGTCTTGATGAAATGTGATCTCGGAAACTCAAATTCGACCAAAAAGTCAAAGTTTGACTTTTCAGTATACAATTGACTTTTTCATCAGCTAACCAAATTTCATCTATCAATCAGGGGATGAATTGAAATATGTAATTAGGTAAAAATGATGTACTTGAATCCCTGAGATCATATTTCAAACCAATAAGTCATGTACTAGGTAGAAAAATCAAAGATTAGTCATTCTTAATCAAAACTCTAATTTTGACCATTTTGCCCTTTTGACGATTTGAACAATTTTCTTAGAGAATTATGATCTGATCTTGATAAAATGATACATATGACTTCAAAATGTTGATATTGGTCCAAAATATTGAAGTTTGACTGTAGGTTGACTTTTTTTTCAATACAGTTGTTTTTAGGTCATCTGATCAATTGACTGAGCAATTTTGGTGATCCGAGACTTGAAACTTGACAGGAGAAATCTTAAGGGTCCATAACGATCCATGGAAGTCATTTGAAACATTAGAAGTCCAACTGTCCTTGTGCAAAATCAAACCCTAATTTGAGGCATCAACGTTGAGGAGATGGTTTTACCTAGTCAATACTTGTGCAAACTTGAATCATTGAAGATCTTTGTGAGAAGCAACTTGAGAAAAGAGAGGGAAAATTTTGGGGTACAACACTGGGTCCTTCCAAGAAATGATGGATTCGTCGGCGAGGCCTTTTCACCATGTCATGGCGCCCTTCCTCAGAGTAGTGGGGAACAACCTGCATTTAATGGCGCCTTTGACGCTATGATAATCGAGCAAAGCATTGATGTTTTTGATGTGCTCGTCGGTGTCTGTTGTTCCATCATATGTTCTCAAGTTCGGTGGTTTTTCCAGCCCGACAGGAAGGGGAACATCCATGTTTGTTCTAGATAATGGACCGCGAGGGTCGTCTTTGTCACTCAAAATTGGCGACCGTGATGGAGAACGGTCGTGCCTCTCTCGCCGAGGATTATCATTGTAGCGTGGCAGCGAGTTCTTTTGTCTGCCTTTCAATTTGCATAGAGACGAATGATAGTTATCTGTTTATCGACTGAACTTGCTTTTCTTGGCAACTGAGGAGCGTCGATCCTCGCGGGGAGGAGTACAATTGTGCTTCTTGACCAGCGAGGGATGCAGCTTCCCCAGAGGCAGGCGACATGCAGATTATTGCGGCGACAGGCTTCGGGACTCATACCATTGGTGTTTCTATGGGGGAGAGCGTGAACAGCATTTCTTATCCAATGCTCCGATCCTCTCATTTTGTTGGTAAATCAGTGTGTTGGTCTGGTTAAGCGTTGCGAACATGGCCGCCATGGTTAGGTCTGTGTTGGCCGGTACCTGAATCAGTTGAAACTTCTCTGGTGTCTTCTCTAGAGCTTTCTATCCTTTGAGGATTTCAATATATTGGATGGAATTATCGGCGACATTGTCGGAGGAGGGGGAAGTAGTGTGTCAGTCTATTCTCAGTGGAAATCCTTCTTCTAGAAATGGCATCTTGTTGTGGTTGTTAGCGTTACACACGTGAGAAATGATGGTTTTGTGACTGCCGATATTGTCGTCTTCTAGACCAACCATGATCGGTTTTGAGGCTTTTTGTTTTGATCTTTTGATTTTAGGGAAAGAAAAGACTGGGAAACATGTTCCCATAGACGATGCCACTGATCTTACGAGTGATCATAATGAGAAGTGGTCGGTGACGTTGTACTTGGTCTCAAACGATCAAGGGGGGTTGTACTTGCAGACACTCTGATGCTTAAATCAGTTCGAGCGAAGAGGTGAGTGAATAAGGATTAAGAATTGAATACTTGACCCTCCTGTAGAAGAGGGTATTTATAGTGAACCCCCAATGCTTGGGCAATGATCATTATGGATTGAGTGTCCAGGCCTATAATGGATGACTGCTAGGATTCCTACGTGAAAGTAGGGATGAGCAGCTCGTGATCATCATTCTGGGTCAACTGCCCCGCAATTCCCGAATCATAGATGGACTTACGCGTTACAAAGGGTAAGACAGTTTCTCCAGTCACGTGAAGCGTGGGGGTGCAGTTGGGGACGTGTCCTCGGGTGAAGAGCATGTGGGGAAATACGTTCTCCACTGGTCTCAACAAATTGGGCGTGCTTTGGGCCGTCCCCGATATAGAGTTAGATTGAGTCGTGCTTGGTGGTGGACTAGTCACAGTCCCAGTCCAAAACACCTATTAACCCATAAATCAACTACAACTTCTAAATACTAGACCAATATTTCTCATTTTATCCACTCAACACATCAACCTAACTTCAACTTTCCAATTTTCCAACAACCCTATCCTAACCCCTCAATCTCTCAGAACAACAATCACTTCCTCAAAAATTAACTTTCTTTAAAGATGTATTTCTTCTCATTCATAACAAGATCAAAGTTCAAACACTTCATCATCCTATACAATTCAACAATACAATCGAAGATATAGCCAACTAATACTTCACTCATATGAAACTGATGGTTACCCAAAGACATAATTATTAATTTTTGAATATGTAATTCTAATATTAATATTATGATTTTATTGATATATAAATTTTTATTATACTTATTTAGTATGTTGTTTAAATATTAATTATCATATTTTTATTTGTTTTAATAATTTATGAAAATTAATGTTAAATTGTTATATTATTTAAATAAAATAATTAATTGATATGGGTTAATTGAGTTAAATAAATACACATGATTGATCTATGATTTAATTCTCTCTATCAATATTTATTTTTATTTATGTAATAATGTAAACTTATAAAATAATAATGTTAAAAAAAAAAAAAAATTTGTACTCTTCTGCCATTTGGATTCAAAGAAGGCATTATGATATTTATTCTTCTTTTATATGCTATTTGGAAATATTTTTTTATAGTAGGATAGATTGGACATTTTGAAAGAAAAAAAAAGAGATATTGGAAAAAAAAACTCCAAAGAACAATATAGTAGTAATATTTATTAAACAGAAAATTTAATTTTTCATTCGTATTTATTGTAAATCTTTTTGTACTACCAACAAAGCAGCCTGGTTTTTTAGATTAACATTTTCTCAACCTCAGTGCATTATGTTATGCAGCACGTGCCTTCATTGACATCATCCTAGCTGGCTGTTTCATTCATCCGAATTCAACTGATTCGGATATATTGTTTGGCTGTATATATTAAAAGAATATTTGGTCTTTTTAAACCATTTTTGAGTAATTTTTATTTTATTTTAATATAGTCCGATTCAAAGATAAGTTGTGACGTCATGCTAATTTGAACCTCTTCCGATAACAATTGTGAGCCGAAAAATCCTACTTATTCATTTTTGATATACTATTTTTTTTTTTACCACCATCAATAGACTATTAGATTAAGAAAAACAAAGATCGTGAGAGAAGACGACCACCGTAGTCCACGAACCACCTGATCCCACCCAGAGCTCAACCTTTCCCACCTTTAACATCAAAGATTCTCACCACCGATAAACCATTCGCATGTCATTTTTATTTATTTTAAACAAAAAGAAGGTAAACCAAAAATGTCTTCATGGCTCGCTCGTTCTCTCGCAAACTCTCTCCGATTCGACGATGACGGTAACATTGAAAACGACGTCGTAACCGACCCTCCAACAACGTCCCCCAGAATTTCCCCTCAACAAAATGAATCACAAGATAATGCAATAATTGAATCACAATTACAACATCACGATGAAGATGATGATGATGAAACGCAAGGTCGTGGTGTTAAAGAAGACCTCGACGAAATCAAACAAACCCTAACTCGTCAATTTTGGGGAATGGCTTCGTTTCTCGCTCCTCCCCCAACGACTTCTCAATCCGATCACTCTTTCTCTGACAAACGACAACAACAACAACAAGAGAATGAACATCAACCACAATTTGATGAGGCTGTGATTTTTAATCAATCTTTGGATATGGAACAAGGTGCGCTCCGTGAGGATGATCCTGACCCGAATTCGAATACATTTGGATCCGATTCAGAAGGTGGCCGGGAGCCGGAGTTTGATATCCCGTCTGCAGTTGGAATTACGGAGGAGGTGTTGACGTTTGCTTTGAATATCGCTATGCATCCCGAGACGTGGTTGGATTTTCCTATTGATGAGGAAGATGATACCAATGGTAATTTTCTTCAATTTATAGCATTACTCATTTCACATGATGATTGTTACATTTTTATAAATTATCCGTTGCTGAAGGTGAATTGTACCTTATTTTAAATGCCTTCATATTCATAATTTAGATAATGTGTTATGTTAGCCTTTTTCGTAGGATAGGCTTATCTGTTCTTTGATTTGGTTAAACTAATTTGGTCATTTGGTACATACCTGATTGTGTAATGATATTGATGAATTTTGATTGTATACATTTATTGTTGTAGATTTTTACATGTCTGAAGCCCAACAAGAGCATGCTTTGGTCGTTGAAAGACTTGCTCCGAGATTAGCTGCACTCAGAATTGAACTGTGTCCTTGTCATATGAGTGAAAGTTACTTCTGGAAAGTCTATTTTGTGCTTTTGCATTCGAGGCTTGATAAGCAAGATTCAGAGATTTTGTCTACACCCCAGGTTAGTTTTATGGCAGTATGCTTTGGCTCTCACAATGCTCTTGTTATCTCTTGAAACATGAAAGATGTTTTTCATGAAGTAATTTTGAATAACTGTTTATATATTTACACTTATAATTGCTGGTATACTTTAAACTAGGAATAGTGTTCCGGTATTTCTAGAAATAGGTGGTTTTGAATGCTGTCTTTTGGGGCTTTACTTGGGATGAGTCGTCCAATGAAGTTCTCTCTGGTGCTACAGTGTAACAAATCCACTACAGTGTATTTTCCTGATTATTTGTGGAACTCACTGTGTGTCTGTTTGTGTGCTTTACAAGATAAGCCATTTTAGTCTCTGAGTATTTAAACTACTACTTCTGTTGGGTGATCTGTGAAGTGTCTTAACAGACCTTGGATTTTGGGTAGAATGGATGGAAAAAATTGTTTCCTTCATTAAAATTTTCAAATGATGGAACAGTAACTTTATTTCATTCCATTATATTACACCGGAGTCTTCTCTACTTTCCTGCAGATATATAAATATAACCTCAGATTATAAGTCTTGAGAAAAAAATGTGCTTGTGTATGCATTAGATGTCTACAGGCTTCATTCGCCCCGGCTTCTTATAGCTATGCATTTTGATTGGTTGGCTAACGATTGAATTGGTAGCCGAAGTTGATTCCTCTTTTGGATTGCAAATTGCAACGTTTACTTTACAACTATTTTTTATAGAAAAAGTTTTGTAATTGGGATGCGATGCGTTAGATCTTTTAATGTTTTTACCATGGAGAATATTTGCTTTATAACTTCGGGAGGAATGAATGGGATGGAAAGTCTTTTCCTTCATTAAAATTCTCAAACAATGCAACAGTAATTTCATTTCATTCCATTGCAGTCCTCTCTACTCTCCATTAGATATCTATATATTATCTTACATATTATAAGTCTTGAGAAGAAAAGTGTGCTTGTTTATGCATTAAGTGTCTACAAGTTACATTCTCCTCGACTTCTTTTAGCTGTGCATTTTGATTGGTTGGCTAATAATTGAATTGGTCGTGGAAGTTGTATCTTCTTTTGGATTGCAAATTACAATGTTTACAGCTATTTTTGACAAGAAAGGTTCGTAATTGGGTTGCATTTGATCTGTCGTTGTTTTACCATGGAGAATATTTGCTATGTAACTTTGGGTGGAATGGGATGGAAGTAGTCTTTTCCTTCACTAAAATTCTCATACAATGAAACAGCAACTTTATTTCATTTCATTCTATTACATTGTAGTCCTCTTTGCTCTCCATTAGACATCTGAATATAGCCTCACAGTTTATAAGCCCCGAGAAGAAAAGTATATTGTTTTATACTTGTTATATTCCCCCAACTTCTTATAGCTATGTATTAGGTTTATCTCAACCTTACAAAATAAGCTAGCTTGTTAGAAGAGGGGTGTCACTTTTTATAAACTCTAGTCATTCCTTATCTCTATGTAGGACATGATTTTTCCAATACACCCCCCCTCACGCCCGACAAGAGCTTATTGCATGGATATAAATAGTGGGTGACCCGATCGATAAGCTCTGATACCATATTAAGTTTTTATATTGGGTCTAACTTAACCTTACAAAACTGACTGACTGGTAAGGTGTAGAGTGCCGCATCTTTTTAAAATCAAGTATTACCTCTATGTGGGACTTGGTTTTTCCTACACTGTACATTTTGATTTGTTGGCTAATAATTGAATTTCTAGTGGAAGTTGTTTATTCTTTTCGATTGCAAATTGCAGTGTTTAACTAATTATAGCTATTTATAAGGAGAAAGATTTGTAATTGGGATGCGTTAAATCTATTATTATTTTACTATGGAGAATATTTGCTTTATTTGCAAGAGGTTAGGTCTGTTGAAGTGTTCACTTTTCTGAAGTGTTGGTTTGTTCATCAAATGGAAAACAAGTGTTTCTTTTCTTAGTTTGGTTCGTTCATCACAAGCAGTATTTGTCTCTATGCTCATGTCTTAAGTTTACATGCCTAGATTCAGCTAATATTTTACATCAACGTTAATGGGTGGATCAACTTTTTTGACATCTTAGTTTCAACATTTGCAGGTCATGGAAGCCAGAGCGACATGGATGCAGGAATTGCACAAACAAACAAAGCCTGAATTTGATATTTTCGGAAGAAATGATCTCTACTCAAGAGAAAATGTTCAGCATCATGATTCTACTCCCAGCTTATCAGATGACACATATTCTGATGACATGCCTCACCAGGCATACGGATATAGAACAGACTATTTGTTTGTGAGGGCAGATAATGAGTCTGAGAAGCACACAATCGAAAGTTCTGGATCACATTTCTCTGATAAGTCAGTTATTGAAGAAAATCCAATTATTAAAAATGAAAACAAGGATCTAAGAAGTGGTCGACGGTCTCAAATTATCATTCAAGACTATGGTGATGATGACGATGATGATTGGCCAGAGGATGATTCTGACTTAGGGGGATATGGTGGAGCAGCACTCCCTATTGTCAATGAAGAAGACATATCTTTCAGCGATCTAGAGGATGATGATTTTGGCATTAAACATGTTAGTGCCAATCCAGATTCAAAGGTGGTATGAACTTCAATCCTGATGACACAACTGTGGTGATTTTAGGGGCACTAGAACCTCACTCCAAACACGGAATCAAAGATGGTTGCCAGATGTTTGGAAAAACATAGAACTGGTGTGTAAACTCTAGCTTTTTTTTTGTTCATAATGGTGAGCAAAGTTGCAAAATTGCTGTGATGCTATTTGAGGCTGTTAAACAAACATGTTAATCATTTTCCCCCATCATTGATTTGCCACAAGGCTAAGTGGATTTGAAGGAGCATCTTGTATTTGAAAACAGCTCAAATGAAACGGATAAGGTGAGCCAAGAAAAGGGATCTGTTGTCGTAGGTTGAAATATGAGCTTCTATCTCTGGGACAACTCTGTTTGAAGAAACATCATATAGGTGAAAGAATGTATATAAAATGCCCTGTTTGTTGTCAAATATATATTTTGAATTTTTTAGTTGATTTATAGTGGATGTAATAGGGTTTGGAGTTTTCTCTCCAGTGTTGTTCTCCTGGAACCTAATTGCCTTGGTGTGTCAATTGTGTTTGAAAACCATAGTGATTACTTCAATAACTTGATTGATGATCAACTGGAATGTGTTTTTCATCTAAGGATATACCTCTTCTGGATTCGAGGTTCAAGTTTTTAGGATAAGCTCATGAGAAACCAAAGTTTTTCTTTAGATTTTTTGCTTCCATCAATTTTACTTTCCTTTGAGATTTTTTGGTCCCCTTTCACTTTTGCACGTGTCAGTGATGACTAGGCTACACAATTAATTTTTAATGTCGCATGGCTGATTAGGATAATTTACTTTTTAATATTTTTTATAGAATAAATTAATCATTAATAATTTTAAAATTTTATTTGAAACTTATAATTAATACAAATTCTAAAATAAAGAATCCGGGCTTAAGGACCAAGTCATATTAGCATCTTTCCAGCCCACAACTAACATTATTTCTAAAGTAATCGATGTGGGATTTCAATAATACATAACATCAACATTTCCATGCATTGACAACCCTTGCAAACAAATACTTCATAGTTTGAAATTACATGTTGCACACGTTTCTTGTATGTTGGAAGCACATGTTTCTAAGTCTCATTCCCAACGCCAGCTGCAACCCTTTCGAAACCCATGAAACTAAAACAACCACTAGCAACAGTATTTGAAGAAAATACTAGACAACAGATGAAGTAAAATGGGTTTGAGAAGAAAATCAGCAGCAAGGTTCATGAGTGAAGTGGAAGACAAAGAAAACAACATGATTGTTGTTCAGCTTCATGACAATCTTGGGATTGGTATGGATGACCATAATGTGCGGAGCTGTTGTACCATAATGTGATCACTCCAAAGTGAGAGGTGATCGAATATCTAAGATTGTTATTGTGGGCAATCGAGTGATGCTAGAATTTTGTGAGAAAAACATCTTTTGCTTAATTTGTCTATCATTCCCAATATACTGGTTCGCCAAACCCGATAGGATATTCCTTTAATGCAAAGGGAAGTACTCAAGTATGCATCTTGTCTTTGGTATCATTAACACTTTGTAGACAAAAGGTATTCATCACAGGTGTTTTCATCATCTACTAGCTGGTATCTTCATAATTGTTTTTTAATCTTTGTAACACTTGCTCTTGGACTGATATGGCTACCTTTCAAAACAAAAGGTATCGAAGGATTTTATCTTCAGAGATCATAGAGAAATGTTGTCTAATGATGTATGAATTCCGTGAGAGAATAGTAAAGAATTAATTCGAATTCTATAAGATTAAAGCACTTATGGCTGAAATATTCATTTTATTTCCATTGGTTTTGTTGATTTTTTTTTTTAAAGTTGTTATCTATAAATATCAACAATCTTTTTATGATTTAAAAGAAAATATAAATAAATGTCACCGTCAGGACTTAAATTTTGGACCAACAATCCCTTAACTCAACTAACAATTGTCAACTAAGTTATCCCATCCATTTTTAATTTTGTTGATCCATTGTCGGTGCAACTGTTCTCTCAAACTGTTTCTCTTATTAAAGTTTCAATTTTTCGCTGAACAGATTTTAGAAGATTTCTTATTCCACCAATACTTTTCTTACGTATCACACATAATTTCAAAAATATCCTTAAAAACTGGAAATATATTTCCGGCTCGCATCCCCACTCGCATATAACTCATTCGTTTTGAGATTCACCTCATTTCACGGTAATATTTATTTCGGAAATGCACTTCCGTTATAAACTGAAAATGCATTTGCGATTTCTAATTAAATGAAATATTACGAATCACGTCTGTTGTTTGGAAGCTAGAATAGCATTAATGTGATAGTGGTAGTTATCATCTGACAAGATACTTATTGCCCAAATTCCTATAGTTTATGTCATGGAGATTATAAATACATGTGCTCTGAAAGAGTAATTCTTTATGTCGAAGTAGTTTGTTCGACAAAGATAAGGGAATGTCGAAAAGATTTGATTTGATTTAGAAGTGCAAAAACAGTTTGTTACACACAAATTTATTTTAGATTTAGAGATGTGGTTTAGATCTAAAATAAATAGATTTGATTTAGTTTCAAAATAGGTATTTTGGGCTTTGCCTTAGGGAGCCAGCTAACCTAAATCTATAAATAGGGAGTAATCTCTATTTTTTGTAATTAAATCAATCAAATTGTATTTACAGAATTTTGCAGTTGCAAAGTGAATAATAAAGTTTTCCACAATTTGTGGACAGAGAGAAACTCTGCAGAAAAATAATTGTCTTCTTTCTTTTTTTCTTTCATATTTTCATTGTCATTGTATGGTGATATCAATCTTGAGCATCAAGATTGATAGAAATTCATCATAGGTTTTGGTGAATTTCCAACATCTGGTATCAGAGCTCCGGTTGAGTGATTCAAGGGAAAAACGATCAAGAACGGTCGAGGAAGAATAAGAAGAAGATCACGATGGCGATGAAGAAGAAGAATTATAAAGTTCTCTTTATAATTCACCAATGTGTCAGCCCAGACAATTTCGAAAATGATAGTGATGTTGAATCTATTAAATAAGCTTGGCAGACTCTCAAGAAATTGTTTGGAGGCACTAAGAAGGTGAAAAAGTGAGGTTACAAACTCACAAAATAACGTATGAATTGCTTCAGATGGAAGATAGCGAAAGCATAACTAATTTCTTTACTAGGGTTACGAAACTAGTGAATCAAATCAAGACTTGCCATAGAGGAGTCGAAGGATATGTCATCTTTGTAGAAGGAAGAGCTTGAAGGGACGCTTGAATTTCATGAACAAAGAATGGTTGAAAGAGCTGCAGGCGAGTCGAAGAGTGATGTGACATTGAAGGCTCAATTAGCAAAAGAAAAGAAAGGCAAAGGAAAGTGGTTCGGTAACAAAGGTAGAGGTGGCTACAACAATTCGACTGGTAGAGGAAATCAGCACGAAGAAAATGTGTCAAATCAGAGAAAACAATACCAAGACAACCAAAGAGGTGGTGTTGGAGGTAGAGGAAGAAGTGGTGGTCAAAAGCATGACAATAGTCATATTTAATGTTACAATTGTCAGAAGTATGGTTACTATTCTAGTGATTGTCTAGAAAAGAGAAAGAATCAAGAAAGTGATGCAAAGTTTGCAAAGTATGAAGAAGATGAGATGTTGCTGATGGTTACAACAAGAGATGAAGAAAAATTCAAGTATCAATGGTACTTGGATTCAAGATGCTCATCGCACATGTTCGAAAGGAAAGATTGGTTTGTCAACATAAAACCCTCGATGAAGAACACAGTGAAATTTGCAAATGACAATACCCTAGCAGCTGAAGATATTAGTGATGTTATGATTATGAGGAAAGATGACAAGAGGGCAGTAATTTCTAATGTGTTGTACATACCAGGCATGAAGAGCAATTTTCTTAGTATATGACAGTTGGTCGAAAAGAACTATAAAGTGTCAATCGAAGACATGATGATGAGAGTCTTCGACGCAAATGGAAGGTTAATCTTGAAGGAACCCATGTCTCAAAATAGAACCTTCAAGATCGAACTTAATGTGATGGAGCACAGGTGCCTTTAGACTGTAGCTAGCAGAGATGAATGGATATGACATTATCAATTAGGCCATCTCAACTCCAGAGACATAAGAGATTTGAAGAGAAGAAATATGGTTCCAGGATTTATAGAAAGTGACATTCCAAACGAGGTATGTGAGGAATATGTGTCAGCGAAGCAACACAAGAATAACTTCAACAAGGATGCAGGAAGCAGGTCGAAGGTTATTCTCGAAGTCATATACTAAGATTTATATGGTCCAATCCAGTTAGATTCGATGGGAGGTAAAAAATACTTTGTCAAATTCATAGATGATTTTAGTCGAAAACTATGGACTTACCTGATCAAGAAGAAAAGTGAAATGATCGAGGTATCTACCAAGTTTAAATCTATGGTCAAAAGACAAAGGGGTCGAAAGCTCAAAGTATTGAGAACTAATGGTGGTGGAGAGTGTTGGCTCCCAAATTCGACACTTACTATATTTGGTCTTTTAGACCAAATAACTGGAATGAACCAAACTAGGAAGTATGATTCGACACATGAAATAACTTAAGGAAAAAATCTAAGTTATATTGGAATCTTCGACCAAGGGCTCATTCGACTGAAGAAGACTTATGTTACTCGACTAAGAGAAAGTATTCTCGCTTTGGCACATGATACGAGGATTATTTGAATTTTGAATTATTGGAGGGAAAGGAAGTTTCGCCAACGTTTAAGAAGAGGCAACATGGCTGAAAGCCATAGGTCGAGGGACATGCAGAAGACACTTGTCTTCATCCTAGCGCAGAATGTTCCCTCGATGGTTACCTACTTTTAGTATAAATTAAGAAACTTGTGTAATTTTTAAGTGTGTTCAACCTATTGTACTAAGTCACTCAAACATTATCCAAGTAACTACTGCGTGAGAAAGGATAAAGCTGAGAAATGTACGTTGGAAACACCTTTTTTCCTTAATGAAAGTCTTTTTACATTACTTTACTATTATCCT